GGGGGTTTTTTGGAGACCCTTGGGCACAAATCCCCCCCCTTTTCCCCCCCATTTTCTAAACCCGTTTTTTTGGAAGGTTTTTTACCCCTTTAAAACAAAAAAAGGTTTTTGGCCTTTGGGAAAATGGGGTTTTGGAAAAGTCCCCCCCCCCCCCCCCCCCCCCCCCCATCGGACGTCACACACACGTCGTCGTGGGAAACGAGGCGGGTGTGTATTGTTGCACCACCTTTTCAAGACGAAGACCCTCAACACTCGCCTCTTGAGCGTTCTTTTACAACCCCTCTAAACGCTCGTGCTGCATGGTGTAACGTTCACGACACAGGTCAGCCTGACAGCTGACAACATCATGGAGCTGGTTTCAACGTGCATGGTGGTGCTGGAGGCGCCGTTCCCGACGGGTAAGCACGACAAGTAGCATGGCGAGCACTTGGCGTATATAGACGAGCACCATGCCATTTTGTTCAAAGTAGTCATTCTGAGTGGAAACTGACTGGAGGTTGAACCTTAAGGCGATCGTGCGAGAGGCAGAGCAGAGACCGTGCTGCGGTGTTGTCCGTCTGCCGCCCGTCAGCAGCACCATATACATTGTAGGTGCGGCAGAAGCGTTCCGGACTTGTAGCCTGTGACAGCTGGTGACTTTGTTTGTCTGCTAGCACAAAGCATCGTTTTGTGGCTGTTTGCGTGTGTCAGCAAAACGTATCGCGTGCGCGAGGAGCCAAGGTTGAACATTAAATGGACATTAAATCGGTTCATTCATCTCTCTTGGGAGTTGATTGGCTCGGGCGGATCACAGCCGACGTGATAGTTGCGCTCGATTTTTTTAACGTCTCACACGTTGGGCGTCAATCGTCGCTCGCAGCCAGGCTCAAACCAGCTATGTATTGCTGCTTGCCCGGACGGATGGTCGGGTTTTACACGCGCTTGTACCGTCGACGCCAGTATGACGTACGAAGCTGATGGAATAATGCGTAGGTTTTTCCCAAGTTCTTGGCTCTCACGTCTGCTCACGCCAGCAACAGAGAAATGTGGCCGCGTTCGCGATGCTGGGATCAGCAGCGTTGTGCTTGTAACTGTCCCAACCGCGTCTAATTGATGATCCGATCGCCCTCACCCAAACCTCCCCTGGTTATGCCCTTCCCACGCGCTCGTGCTGCGGCGCGGTTGACATCTGTGCATACGTGCTACACCGAAGCGAGCGCCATCTCTCGGCAGGCCTCGAGCGCCCAAAAAGGCAGCGGAATTGCTGCTTTTTCTACGGCCAACAACGCCACGTCGAATCCCCACGCTAGCTCTGCGGACAACGCCTTCGCGCACTCTGCCCTGCTGGCCGTGATGCGCGACCCGGCGCCCTCCGTGCTGCCTCGAGCCGTGTCCGAGTACATGATCGGGAGTATGGCCGATTTTTCGGCGTCGGCGGGTGCTGCTCCCACCGCCACCACTGCTCTCGCTCCCGGTGGTGGTGTTAGTGTTAGCGGCGACGACCTTGCGGCGTCGCCGTCGCCGTTGCCGAAGGCGGCGCCGGCGGGCGGTGAGGCCGCGGCGTGCCCCGCTGGCGAAGCTTCTGCTACGTCGCCCGTTCCTGCCGCCGCTGCCGCTACGGCGGCAACACCGGCGACCTCACGGGGAGGCAGCGGCCGGCAGGGAGGGGGCGCTGGCCAACTCTCAACGAGTACGTCGGCACCCTCTGGCGCCACCACCGCGCACCCCGCCCCGCCTATCACCGACACCCCGCCGCCGGAGCGGCTCACGGCAGCGGCAACGGCGACGGCGGCATCGCCTCGACCGTCGTCTTCTACCGGTGCGGCTTTGTGGAAGGTGCACCCGCCATTAACGGCGGCAGCGGCGGTGGCGGCCGGACCTCCACCACCGTCCCAGCTGCCGACGCTTCGGTCCTTAACCGTCTCCCCGGAGGCGTCCAGGTCGCACAGCTTCTCGGCCAGCGAGCTCGGCGGCGGCGGCGGCGGCGGCGGCACGCGTGAAGGGAGCGGCGAGATGGCTCACGGCGGGGTCGGCGACGGCGGTACCACCGGCAGCGGCGGAAGCAGCGGCGGGGTCGGGGGGACCGGCAGCCGGTCGACCCAGTCGCCCTCGAGAGCCCGCCTGGTCCCGGTGATGCGGGGCTGGTCGGCCGGAGGGGTGGGCGGCGGCGGGCCACTACTGAGGGGCAGCTCTAGGGGCGGCCACGGCGCTGGCGAAGGTGGCAGCATGGGATCATTGGGCTGGGGTGGCGTTGGCGGAAGCGCGTTTAACTCCGCCTGGTCCCCGTCGGTGACGATGAGCACGGGGATAAGCAGGGGCCGGCTCGCGACGTCGGCAAGGTTGGGGGTGGGGGACCCCGGGCAAACGGGCGGTGCTGCTTCTGCCGCCCGCCCTCTGGCCTTCAAGCAAGAGGAAATAATGGTGAGAAAGAAGCCTGGGGAAGGGGGGGGGGGGCTCACTGCGTTTGTTTCGTGCCTTCTTTCACGTCGTTCGGATGATCTCTTAAAGACGATTTCTTGTCGAATATTTACGTGGAGAGGGTCCGGGGTGGAGGTGGGGCATTGAGCGCTTTGAAGCAGGAAGTGTTGATGGTATTGAGGGGCGACAGCAGTGTCGGGGGTGGAGTAGACAAGGTTGTTCGCACCCCCCCCCCAAAAGGGTTTCATGTCACGCAGGAGGGACTACATACAATAGGCGCGTCTCATTCTTTCAGCCATCGATTCGATGCCCCAATGCCGTACGCGTCATCTGTCAATGCAGCATTTTTGGCCATTTTGTCTGTTTTTATCCTTATCCTGCGGTTAGGTGGAGATGACACCGCTCGGACGAATACCCGGCGCCCGCGTGATCCGCTACTTGGGGAGCGTGAGCCTGCACTTTATCAAGGAAAGCTGGGCGGCATCCCGGGGGGGGGAGGTGGCGTCCTTCTTCCACGAGTTCGTCATGGAGGTAGAAAATGCAGCATCATATCTGTTGCCACTGCTGCTGCTGCTGCTGCTGCTACTGCTTCTGTTGTTGTTGCTGTGGCTATGTTGTTGCTGTTGTTGTTATTGTCGTTGCTATCGCCTCGATTCTTGAAAATGGGTTTGTTTCAAGTCAACGGTGTTCCGTACCGCGCCATGCCGCTGAGATGTTGCTCATGTGTGCGTGTTTTTGTGTACCATCTCCTCCTCCTCCTCCACTTTCTCAAGCAGGTCTTCTATCCGCACCTTGTTGTACCACACAACGTCCTACAGCTGTACATGGGTTTGTTTCTTCTCTTCTTGCTGTTGCTGCCCCCACCCTGCCTGTTGTGTGTTCAGGTACACGCTGTCCTACGCGCCAACGTGGCGGCTCTAGGGGGCAACGCTCTGCTGTCCTACAGGCTCCTGCCGCAGGAGTCTGGGGGCAAGGTCTACAAGAATCAGGTGTGCATTTGGAATAAGGATTGTCGTAACCCAGTTGGTCGCTGCTTCAGTGAGATATACGGCGGTGTCGTCCTTGACAATAGCACATGTCCAAATCTAGCGGTGGATTATCGAGTGGGGCATGAATGAATGTGGACCTGTTGACAAGTCCACATTCAATTGCCCCGCTCCACAAGTCCACATCCATGTTCATGCCCCGCTCGATAATTCATCGCTAGAAATGGTTTGGCGTTTCAAACAACATGCTCGAATAAGGAGCCATCTGGGCGATAAATGGCACGCGATGTGACGGCAAGATATGCATGCAAGCGCCGACTTCGTTGCACGCGGTCCAGGTGTACAACATGATCAGCGTGAGGGGGGACGCGGTGGTGGTCGAGTACGACCGCCCGGCTATGGACGCGTCACTCGCGAACGACCCCAGGAAGTCCCAGGTGCAAGAGGTGTCACGATTGCTGTTGTTGTTGTTGTTGTTGTTGTTGTTGTTGCTGTTGCTGCTGTTGCTGCTGCTGTTGGTTGTTGTTGAAGGTGTTGTCGCCGGATGCCACTGGTGTGTCATTGTTGTCGTTGTCGTGGTTGTTGCTGTTGCCGCTGTTGCTGCTGTCACGAGTACCCCGTGTGTTGGACGAACAAGGCGAGAGCTAACATGCCTATCACCCCCCATCCCCCGTGTCTGGACTGGCTTCCGCGAAACAACCGTTTTTGTTAGATTTCGACGAAAGTGCGAAACAAGGTCGAAACAATAAAGAAAGAATATTGCATCAACGACACTCACTCCAACGAACATAAAGAGCATACTTCTATACATGTGAGTGAAAGGTTCGCAATATTCAACCTTGACATATGCATCGTGATAAAAACAAGAAGACGCGAGTGCACTTGTCTCAAGGAAGACGAAACCGACCGATCTTCGTCTTGACTCCTCCCCTGCCAAAAAAACAAAACAGGCGACGTACGTGAAAATGGAAGGGCTACCAGAGGATGGCGTCACGAGTCCCGTCAGAGGCGTTCTCGGGGCGGGGTCTGCAGGTTCGGTCGCAGCGGCGCCAGCGGTGGCGGACGTAGCAACGCCTGCCGTGTCGAGAACGACCAGCGCCTCTCACGCCGCTCCATACCGAGACGGGAGCAGCGCGTCGAGGGAAATGAGCGGAGGGTCCGCGTAGTAGGTTGACGTTCTACTTCTAGAAGTATTGGGCTTGCAGATACGCGGGGCTGGTGCACGCGGGCGTCGCCAAAAGTTCGTTTGCTAGCCTCACTCAAGTGTGTTTTTTTGCCGTTGACCGCAGAGTATGTGTTCTAGACTCAGAGTCCGTAGGTCCTTCATCGCCAACGTCCGAACGCTCTCAGCGTCCCTCGCGGATTGTACGGGGCCTAAGCGATCATACTGTAAATCAGTAGTTAGTTTACTGATTTGAGACCCGGTTGATATTCGGATCTTACAGGGTTTTCGAACGTTTTGTCGGTACGACTTCCAGTAGGTAAGACTCAGGAAAATGCCGCGAGGGTGTCGTGTGTCACGGCCGTGGTCTTCTTCAGCGTGTTCTGCAGCGCTAGACACAAAAGCATGTACTTTCGAAACACCCCGAGCACTTCCGCAACTCAATGAAACCACTATTAGCGCCGTAGGCTGGTCTCTCAGGCTATTCTGCTCCGTAGGAGCCCGCGAGTCACGGGAGATCACCGCGTTGCGTGTAATTCCGTCGTGGTAGTTGTCGGCGTCTTACTGTAGCTGCGATCACAAGATATCACCGCATACATGAAGGTTTGCGTTGTGTTTCCGTCAAGCAATCGTCGCCGTCGTCGTATTGGTCGCGATTGCGCATGAATTCCGAATTCCCGATGTCGTTGCTCCGCAGCTTGGACCGGTGTGTGCGTGCGTGCTTGGGGGATTTGATCTGGGTGGACCTCGCAAGATATACCACTCGGGCGCACTTGTGACTATTCCTTTTCGTGCACAGGTCCCCGTTCTGTCTTCAGTTGGTGTTGGGACATCCGAGGATCACGCTGTGTCCCACATACCCCTCCTCCCGGCGACCTCGGTGTCTTTATGTTAGTTCGTGAAGCAGCACAAGAACGAGATCCAAATCGCAACATCGACTAGATGGCACCGTACTTTAGGGGCGTTTTATACAGAGTCGCTATTTTTTCTTCCAAATTTCCAAATCCGTAGAGACCGTCGAACCTCGATTTGCGGCCGAGGGAAACAATTGGAAATTTGGAAATTTGGAAATTTGGAAAAAAATTGGAAACTACGTGGCAACGAAAATATGGAACGAGTTCGTTCCAAATTGGAAATCTGGAGAGTCGGAAATTGGAGATTTGGAAACAAAATCGTTGTGTATAAACCGGCCCTTGGTATTACTTGAGATCCCGCCTTCGTATAGGGCTATTCAACGGAACCAAGTACCCTGCACTACCACGAAACTCGACACATGTTCCCCACAATACTCGTACACGTATGCTATACGCAAGAAATCCCGGAACCTCCCGTCTAACAAAAGTCCGATACAAATCACAACACTAGAAAGTAGCCATTAATCGTAAACCCACCTGAGGCTCAAGGTTTACGGCTGCCGGTAGGTAGTCTATACGGCAAGCGCAGCCACGGCCGTGTTCACCAGCAACATCACACAATCTGCCTCTATCGCAGGAGCCTTTTCGGACATGCTCTCGAATCACTGCTTGTCACCTAAAATCCTCCCTGTCTAACAAAAAGGTGAGCACTCCATTTGATGTGCCTCAAGGACGGTCAAGGATGATGGATGCCTTCAATTGCAAGCCCACCCGTGAGTCACAGCGTTGGCAAGGATAGAAGTTAGTCACCAAACGAACCCGAAAATCCGTCTATCAATAGCACGAAACGTAATCTCACGGGACAAGGGTTGTGAACCCATGAACACGTTTTATCTTTGCACGGCGTACACTAATGATCATGACTACCGTCGTACACTACAAAGACGGGATGGAGCAAGTCAAGAAAAGGGGGGGGGGGGGCTGAAGACAGGAACGCAGGCAGGAAGGCGGGCCCGGGCATACTTTCGCTCTCAACCTTGCACGTTCTCCAAAAACTCTGCTGGTTGGGTGCACATCAGTTGTAAGACTTCTCTCATCGAGGTGTCTCGAGTTCGCCCGCTCACTTTCTCCCCGCCAGCCCCGCGCCCACTCCCTTCTCAGATCCCCCATCCCCTTTCTGATGTGTATCTCGCCTGCCTATTTCTGCAAAAAGGAGCTAAGCCGCACACCAAAAACCTAATTCAGAGGGAAACGAACCCGCGCCCGACTGTTGTCTATAACTCAGGCACTGATTTTCCGTCTTTCCGGTTTGGTGGGATGCTGCGACGAACTGAAATCCTAAGCACCATCTGCAAAAAACTAGCCGCGAGCCTGCTGTTCTCGCTACGCTGCCATAGCACAAAAGCACTAACCCCGGCACAGACCACAACAACAGCCGGGAGTCTGCCGTTCTCGCTCTCGTCATAGCACTAACCCAAACGCCAACAACGAGCGTGTGATGCACGTTCTGCAAGCAGGGCTGGGTCCCACTCAACCGGACGCCCCCAATTTCACGGTCTCATGCTACACACCTAAGGTACCGACAAACGCCTCTTTCCGTTTGTGGCCGCCGCCGGTGGCGTCGGCCTCCAGGCCGCGTCGGCGCCCCTCTGGAAGTAGAAGAGGATGTAGGCCTCGCTGGACAGGACCTCCTCCTCTTCCACCTCATGCACCCACGTGTCGTCGAACCGGAACCAGCGGCCGATCTCCTTCACGAACGCCGTGTAGTGCCCCTGCGCCATGCCGCCCGAGTGGTTCACCACCGCAAGGAGGTCGTAGGGCAGGGACGGCGCCGGCACGTCGCCCGAAAGCTCAGCCTTTGCGCCGGCCGCGGCCGGGGTGGCGGGGGGGGCGCCCTTTGCTGTCCCGGTATCCAGAGGAGGTGAAGAGGACGGGGATGCTCCGGAAGTCACCCCTCCCGCGCTCGACGAGGCCGCAGCTGCCGGCCAGCCGGTGAGGTACTTGCCCATGTCCAAGCCTCTAGCTGGGAAGCTCACGAAGTCCTGAGGGGAAGAAGGAAGGCATGGCATCGGGGGCGCTGAGCGGCGCGACAGAGGGGAGCCAGCGACAAAGGGACCTGGGTTTTTTGCATCTACACTACGACGGTACACGATCCAAGTCCCCGCCGAGACATGTCCCCCCTTGCAGAGGGAACGGTCAAACTCTGCACGCCACAAAAATGGAATCATCGTGTGTCCTCTCAAGGGTGCCTATCACCTCCCGATCCTCCTCATCACGCCTCCTCATTCACACGGGCATGTTTCTGAGACCTGTTTGCGTTTTGGCCTCTAGTCTGCCCGTCAACATGAGGTACCACTCGCACACGGATCAGGCAACTCGCCACCCTCAACTCACGTCAATCTTTCTGTCGGCCATGGCGTCAAAGCGCTTTAGGTGCAGGACGAGCACCCGAGGGAGCGAGCAGAACGACATCTGCTTGGTCTTGCACACGGACGCGGCCGAGCACGAGTCGCACGCCATGCGCACGGTTAAGCTCTCCCTCGCCGCGAACCTCGCGAAGCAGTCGGTGATGCTCCGGGTCGGTCCCGTCGCAACACTCCTGCTCTTGCTGCCGCCGCGCCTCCCCCCGCCCGCCCTCCTGGGAGAGGGCGATGCCCTTCTCTTCTCCTCCTTGGCGGCAGCGGCGGCCGGTTGCTGCTGGTTCCGGGTCGGCGACGCCCTTCCTTCCCCTGCGTCTAGCGCGGGGGCGGCGGCGGCGGCGCTCGAGAAGCGACCGCTTCCGTCGTCAGAGAAAGTCGCGGACGCCGGGGATACGCGGCCGGTGCTCGGCGTCGTTGCCTGCGACGCCTCGCTCGGCGGCGGGTCGTTATCCTTGCAGCTGCCGCCGCCGGCGCAACTCCCTGCCGGGCTGCTCCTTCCCGACGATGGGTCGACTTGTTGTTGCCGAGGCTGTGCCGAGCTAGAAGTAGGGGTGGCGGGACGTAGTGCGCTGGCCGGCGGTGCCTGCGCCCCTTGTACCGACGGGGGTAGCGACGATGACGCGGAGGAGGACAGAGACGACAAGGAAGACAAAGAGGCGGAGGAAGGGGAGGTGGCCGTCACCCCGGCACTACCGCTATTGGGCATCTCGGTCGCGGAGGCGACATCGTCGGCAACCCCTAAAATCGCCGCCGCCTTCGCCGGCACCCCGCCACCGTTCTCCGTTCGCGCCGTTGAGCTAGGCACAGAACATCCCGCTACCCCGTTTTCCTGCATGCGTCCCTGCGTCTGCCCCGCCTCTTGCTTCTTCTCCTGCTCCAGCTTCTCCTGCTCCAGCTTCTCCCTCTCCTCTTGTTGTTGCTGCTGCTGACGCCTCTCATGTTCACCGGGGCGTACCGGCAGCGACACCTCGAGGAAACGCTCATATGTGCACGAAACATGCCCGCAAGCGGTGCACACGACGTCCGAACGAGTAACCCCGGCGAAAACCTCCTGGACGAATCCAGCCAGGTTTAGGTCCTCCAGACACTGGCCGTTCAACATACTCCCATTCTTGGCAGTGCCATTGCCAACCTTAGCTCTTGCCGCCGCCCCTTCCTCTTCTTCCCCTCCCCATCGGTCTTCTGTCCACACCGTTTCGCCGTCGTTATAGCCGCCCCGTCCGGCTGTAGTCGCGCGAGGCAGAGCGTTTCTGTTTGACGGAAAGGATGACGAAGACGCCGAAAAACCGTTCGCGTGCTCAGATTGCGCGAACATATCGCCACCGCTATCACCATTGGACTGCCATGCCGACGTAGCGGGATGCGGGGCACCGTTTTCTCCTTGCCAGCCTGTAGCAGAAGGGTGTCCCGGGGGTGCGCAACCCCTCTCGTGGCCGTCCCCGCTGTTGTGGCCTCCGGGTAATGGTGGCCGGCCCTCCCACGCGGAAGCAGTAGCGGCAGCCGCCTCCGGCGCCACGCCGCTAGCGCTCCGGCTGCGTTTCCGGCTGTTCTTTGCCGTCTCGCCTTCACCCTTCCCTCCCCCGGCCGCCGCCTTCGCCGCGGCCTTTGCCGCTTTCGCCGCCGCTGCCGCCGACGGCGGCGGCTGCTGCGTCGCGCCACCGCTGCTCTTCCCGCCGCCGTTTTGCTTTCCTGCCTTCTTCGGCTGCTGCTGCTGCTTCTGCTGCTTCTTTGGTGGTTGAGACGGCAGCTGTCCCTTCGACTCTTGGGCCGTAGCAGCCGTCGCCGCCGCCGTCGCTGCCGCCGCAGCAGCCTCCTGCTTCTTCTGCTTCTGCTTGGCGCGCAGCTTGTGGGCCGCCAGCGTGCGCCGAAGCACCGGCGCGTTCGACTCGTCCCTGGCGGCGCGGTCCAGGTGTCCGTGGAGGCTGTCCAGCACGGCGATCAAGAACTCGTGCGCGTCCTGCTGCTCGTACCCGGCCAGAAACTCCGACGCGCTCCACACGGCCTCGAGGAGCCGGTGGGGCACGTACGGCTCCGTGTCTCCGAGCGTAGCGGCGGCGGCTGCGAGAGCAAAAACAGGCGTTAAATGGAGAGGGGAGGGGGCAGACTGTGAGAGAGTGTCCATCAAAAGATATCCAGAAGCAGCCAACAGTGACGGACAAAATTTTATCCATACGACCGGTTTCCGAGAAACAATGGAACGCCTGGGACAGAGAACCCAGGGAGATGAGTTGGGTGACGTACTACTTCCGCGAGTGGAGACACAACCACGACTGTCTGACGGCGGGCTAGTGTCCTTGGTTCACCTTCTGTCGAGAACATGTCATGAAACAGCCGGGCAAGCTCGCACGCGATGCAGTACTCCCCGATTTTCTTGGCAATCGTCATCTTCTCCGAACCCCCACCATCCTTCCCCCCTCCCCCCGCACTGCCTCTGCCAGCTCCCGGATGATTATCAAACGACGCGTTGGAGTCGTACTGAAGGATCTGACTACGCAGCTTGGTGGTCTCCTTGCGGAGTTTCTCGCAGCGAGACGGCTCGTGGCCTTTCTCGGAGAAGAACGACTGCATCACAGAGATGTGGAGCACCGCCTGCGATTTTTATGTCGTCGTTTCGTTTCGCGGAAGGGTGCGAGGGCAGGGTGTGAATAGCAGGCACCCCGGTGAAATACAACAAGCGGGACCCCGTGTCGGGGGTGGGGGTGAGGGAAGAGCTGCAACCAGCGTGTGCTAAACAAACATTCATTGGACGCAAAATAACGTCCGCAATCCCCTCATCAGTACACGAGTATGGCCATGGAATATGCGATGTTGTACCCGAGGTCACGGCCATCCACAACCAAACCCCCTTCTCCCCCGGGACGATCAAGCGCAAGACCAAAACCGACAACGCACCTGCAGCACAGAGCTCATGAAGCAAGTGTTCCCGAGGTTGAACATACCCCTTACACCGGCAGCGACCAGTCGGCTTCTCGCCGGCGACAGCAGCACCGGCGGCGGCGACGCCCGCTCCTTCCCGGCCGGCTGCTGCTGCTGCTGCTGCTGCTGCTGCTGCTGCTGCTGCTGCTGGGTGGGCTTACCTCCTGCCACCCGGTAAAACCCGTCCCCGCGCGCGCGCCGGCGCCGGCGCCCGCGGACGCAGGCATCCCCGTCCCTGGCGCTACCGCCGCCGGCCCCCCAGCCGCCGCCGTTGTCCCACTCCGTGTGCAGGCCGAAGCTGTCGTCGACGCGGGACACGGCGGTGTCGAACTCCACGTCGTAGACGTAGTCGCAGCACCGCGCGCAGAAGATCTCGGCGCGCTCGCGGCTGGCGGCGAAGCAGTGGCCGTCCCCCGGCTGGGTGAGGCAGTGGCGGAGCATGTGGCGGCGGGGGGGGGACCCGCAGGCGGTGTAGCCGCACTCTAGGCAGGTGAGGACGTCGTCGGGCTCGTGCAGGGTGTGCTCGTCGCACTCGTGGCACTGCCATCATGGGGTCGTCCGGAGGGGATGGGAGAGGGGCGCGAGAAAGAAAGGTGTGCACGAGCAAGGAAGAAAAGGAAGGGGAGCACGTCAGAGGACGTCCTGGCGGCGGTGTGCTCTCCGTGCCAAACGACTGACAAATGGACCGCCCCGGACAACATATTTGTACAAGCACAAACGAGGACACCGTGAGCAGCACGAAACCTAGACTGCTGCGCTACCAGCAACCGTGCTCCAAGTCCTTACGCTACCCTTCAGCCAGCCTATCGTACGGCGCTTCGTGCTCACCATAGAGGCCGGGTGCCCCATACCGTCCCCATCCATGGCTCCAAACACTCCCACGGTTTTCTTCTCCTTCAGGATGAGCGCTGTGTTCACCTTCTCCGGGGAACACGAGAAAACGAGTATGGCGGGGGAGGGTGCTACCCGTTTGTTGTTCGTACGTAAACGGAGGATCACTCTCGAGAGACGTGATCACGCAAGGCGCAATGTAAATACTTCTGTTTTTGGTCGTTCCATTTATTCTGGACCTCGGTCCTTACGCCCGTTCGGTACATTCTGAACGCAGCAGCCGAGGTCACACAGGAGGAAGGCTACACAGACAGGCAGTTTTTTCTCCGCGTTCCTTCTGCGGTGCTCGCGTTACAGTAAGAGAAATACTTCAACGTTGTTATGGCCTGGAAAAAAGGCCGTCTTCAATGCAGTTGTCCCGCTGCGAGACGCGTGGGGATGGGTGCACCCCCCTGATTCCCGTACCAAGGTAGGTGGGTCGGAGCGCATTGGCATATATCGACCAAAGAATGGCGCGCCATGAATTGTTTGGCATTTGCCTCGACGTACCTACGGTAGGTACGGGACTGTGACTGGCAATAAATTTTCCGGAGTTACTTGCTGAGGTTACGTGCACGAATGGCACGAAAGCGGGATGGATGGATTCATGACAGCAGGGCAACTTCAAACATCATGGGCCCATGTGCTCTACCACAAGCATGCCAACACAGGGCGTCGGGATTTAGACTGCAATGCCCACGCGCCGTGGGCGCTCCGCCTGCCGAGAAATGGACTCATGTCGTATCATCCATCGGAAGGAAGGAGCGCTGTCGCGGACCTTCTCAGCGAGCCACATCTTACGCCCACCCACCTTTCATTCATGACTGAGATCGGGCCTCTCCCAACACGACGCGGCGGTATAGGCTTGCGTTCGTCACCAGCAGTAGGTAAAGATAACGTACCTGCTACGAATACAGCCCTGTACATGTCTGCTGCTACGTGCTTCCTGCAGCGCCCACAGCTACCCTACCCTGTACTTTGTGTCTTCCAACATGTATGCATACCACACACCTCGATTCGCACGTCCACCAGCTTTCGCAGCAGATCCTGGCGATTAGGGTGATCCACAAGGTGCGGACAAGTGCATGTTATCTTGGAAGGTTCACTACCCGCAGAGGAACCAGTGGCCGCTCCTCCTGCTACTGCTCGCGCAGAGACTGCCGCTGCGTGGTTGCCAGAACTACCGCTGGTTTTGCTGTTTGGAGGCGCAGCGGTTGACGTCCGCACTGCTGTTTCAGCTTTTTTTGAAGAGGATGACGGCTTCTTGGTAGGCCCACCTCCTGAAGCTTCTGCTTCTGCTGCTGCTGCTGCTGCTGCCGATCTCCCTGCAGAGACGGCTGCCTTTGGAGTGGTAGGCGTTGCCTTGCCTGGAGCTGTCTTGACCATAGTTCGATGATGATGTGTGAGTGTGATTTGATTTTTTGATGATGGCAAATCTGACACACAGCAGTGCTGGAGCAAATCGGCTGTCTTTCCTTCTTTGTCTGTACCACACACTACCTAGGCTGACGCAACAGCGCAGGGCACAGGTGAGCGTGCCTGGGGTGGCAAACGTACTTCACTTTGACCTTTGACCGCACAGGGGGCAGACCAAAGAGCGGGAAAAGTGTGTGTGCATTCTGCGTAGCCCCCTTCTCCGAAACGGCAGGCTTCCCGCCGCGCTTGTTGCTGCGAGATAGATGCGCATGGGTGTAAGCTGTAAAGGTGGGGCCTTACGTCGAAAGCAGTAAGACACAACACGGTGCTGGCTCTGGCAATGCTACTGCTAAGTACTTGCGGCTACAGATCATCTCCGACGATATCAACGGCAATCTCACCGGGGGATAAGGAGACCCCAATTGTACTGTAGTGTCTACTCCAGATAACAGAGACAACGGTTGGGAGTTTCGCACAGAAAGGTACGATTTGACGAAGAACACCGGTAGCCACGGCAGTGCCGGGCTAAGCTAGCCAGATTGAATCATGGGTGCCAGGGCCTCCGTTCCAGCAGATCGAACAACCGGCAAACCGCCGCGGCCTCTGCGCCCGGCATCACGGCGAGCTGCAACCGCCGGGATCCTCGAGCACCTCGACTGCAAACACGTCGTCATCCTCGTCCTGGGAGACGTGGGCAGAAGCCCCCGCATGCAGTACCACGCCATGTCCCTCGCTTCCCACGGGGTACGGGTGACGCTCATCGGGTACTCGGGCGAGCGTTGCATCAGCGCCGTCGAAGACAGCCCGCGCGTGGACACGTCCCGCCGCTTCGACCCTCCGCTGTCCGGGCCCTGGGGTAAGAGCTTGAAGCGAAGGGCGTACCTCTTGTTCGCCGGAGTCAAGGCGGTGGCACTCCTTGTGAGGGTTATGTATGAGCTTGTGCTGGTGGCCGGGCGGCGTGGGGCCGGCGGCGGTGCGGTCGCCGACAGCGGTGGCTTTGGCGATGCCCTGAGGCCGGACGCTATCCTCGTGCAGAACCCCCCGTCCCTCCCTGGGCTCGCCTGTGTCTACCTTGCGTGCCTTTTGAGGAGGTGCGCGATGGTCTTGGACTGGCACAACTTGGGCTTCACCATGTTCGGCTGCGGGCCCCGGCATCCGCTGGTGTGGATCACACGCAGGGCTGAGGGATTTTTTGGGCGAAGAGCGACGGTCAACTTGACAGTCTCGCACGCCATGCGTAACTGGGTAAGTACATTGATATTTCCAGGGAGATAATCGGTAGACTATTAAGGAATAATAAAAACACACACAGAAAGACTACCCATTCGAGATATACCCACAGTCGAACGGGATGTGGTGGAGTCTTTTCAGTGAGTAGACTATGTTGTTCCACGCCTTACTTGCCAGCACGTGTCAGGTAAGATGGGGAAAGTTTCGCGTTTATCCATTCCAATCGCCCAGTGTGAGCAAAAAGAGCGTGAATATGTACGTGTCGAGCAAGGACAGATGAGAGGAGTAACAGACCAGCGTCAACTGCCCCCTCGCTATTTTTTGCAACTCGCACCACTCAATATGTTGATCCATTATATTTGCATTCTGCTGTCTTGCTCTGCTTAACAAACACAAGATCAAAGAAAACTTCGGCGTCCCGGAAGGTTACGTCGTCTACGACCAGCCGCCCGAGTTTTTCCGCGCCCCCACCGTGCCGGAGCGCCACGAGCTCTTCACGAGACTCACTAGGACAAACCCTGACTTTGCGGACGCCATTCGCGCGCTCACGCTGGCTTCCTTGCGAGGAGAGTTGTCCGCGATAGGCGGAGGCGGCGGCGAGGGGGACGGCAACGACCGACTGGGACACGGCAACGATGGCAACGACGGCACGGGCCGCCCTCACCCCAAGAAGGCCCGCGGCCATTCGGACGACAACAGCGGCAGTGGAAGGAGCAACAGCGATAGCGGCGGGAATAGAGAAGTGACGGAGGTGACCCCGCCGCCGATCGCGAGGACCCCGCCAGCAGAGTGGGAAGAAGGAGACCCGGCGGGACAAGAAAGGACCCTGTTTACGACGCGGTCCGCCGACGGCGTGTACGAGCTGCGTCGGGATCGACCGGCCTTGCTCGTGTCTTCTACAAGCTGGACCCCGGACGAGGACTTCTCGGTGTTGCTGGAAGCTCTGCGGCGCTTCGATCTGCGCACGGCTTCGGGGGCGTCGCCGACGCTCCCGCTGGTGATGGTGGTGGTGACGGGTAAGGGGCCGGACAAGGCCAAGTACGTGGCGCGCATGAGAGCGGCGAGGATGTCGAGGGTCGCGGTGTGCACGGCGTGGCTGGAGCCGGAGGACTACCCGTTGCTGCTCGGGAGTGCTGACCTGGGCATCTGCTTGCACACGTCAACGTCAGGTGAGCCGTGTGTGTATTGATCGGTCGAGTTCGAGGAAGGGACTTGGAATTCGTTGGAGGGGTTTCGAATTTGCGTGTGAAATGTATCATACATACCAAACGACCGCGTTACCTCGACGATATTCGCGCGCACTCACCGGTGGAAGATGGCATGGTAAGCAGCAATGGTGACCAGCCCTCGCCGACTCTTCTTGAAAACGCGGGCTGCAACTGTTATGTGGGTTACCGTCGGTGCGGTCGGCTTCTTTTCTGTGTTTTCGGGTTAGGTTTTGCGCCTCTGTTTGACTGCGTTGCTCTTCTCGTCGACTGCGTTCAACTTTTCCCGTCTTGCTTGACGCGAGATTTTCCAACCTCCAGTTCGATGCCGTCGGGTGAGAATTGTTTTAGTCCGGCGTATCTTGCCAGGCAACACAGGGAAGCTACATGCATCAAAATTGCAGAAAATGCGACATCTTTTAACCTCTGGCGCGATACTCCCCTCGCCTTCCCGGGTTGCACACGCCGCCTGAACTTTCCACCCGATTTGCTCTTTGTTCAATTCAAGGGGTGGACTTGCCGATGAAAGTGGTCGACATGTTCGGCTGCGGCGTGCCAGTGTGCGCCGTTCACTTCGAGTGCCTGAAGGAGCTCGTTCAGCATGGTTACAACGGGTGCGTCTTTCGGGACAGTACGGAGCTTGCCCTCCAGCTGGAGGCACTGCTCGACGGGTTCCCCAGGGGAGGGTCTGAGCTGGATGGATATCGGAGCAACGTAAAGGAGGTGCGTACGCAATTCGTTGGGGTCTTCAGGCTTGTTTCCGGTAACGAAGCTGCTGTTGATGGTTCGAAAGAATCCGGCCATCAAGACGAACAGTAGCAGTAAAGAAGTGGCATCGTCGCTCTGTTGTATGCCGTGCCAACCAGGCTTGGGGGAACTACTCATGGCACTCATGGCAATTTATGTACCCAAAAGGCATGAGCCCTCTAGCCCACAACGAGCAAGGATTCCCTGTGTGAATTCAAACACACACACCTATGAACGCGGGGATGCTTCTGTCTTGCAAGGCATGCATGAAGAACGGTGAAATCACCAAGAGCAAGCAGCAAACCAGTACCACCCCCCATCGCTGCCGCCCCCATTCCTCCCCTTGCCCAACCCCGTCGACATCAACCCACCCACGGCTAGTCTACCGCCCCGCCCTGAACTCCTGCTTCTATCCGCCTGCCGTATCCCCACCTGCGTTTCTGCCCCAGGTGCAACGATGGAGGGAGAACTGGGACGAGTACGCCTGGCCGATCTTCTCGAAGATCGGGCGGCTTAGGGCAGGACCAACAAACACAAGAGGGACCGGTGCCCGAGGGAGTCCCAGAGGAGGATTTTTTTCCAACGCGCGGGGAGGGGGCTGGTCGACCGGGGGGCTGGCGGAGTCCGTGGTGGTACCGGCGACGATGTTGTTGGTCTTGCTCGTGAGCGTACCTTGGCTGTCCCACTCGCTGGAGAGCTGGGCCGCAGACGGGGCCGCCGCCGCCGACCGCTGGCGACGCCAATGGACTTGAAAAAACGAATCGAGTCGATCGGAAGGATCCGGCCCCTGTCGAGCGATTCTTGAGTGGGCCCCTATTGCTTGTTGTTGTAATTAATGTTGATGTCATCGATGACCTTGTGGACGCTCTGTTTGCTGCTTTCTCTTGTGCCTTGAAGTCCACTCTGCCTTCTACCCAGCCAAGACCTCTGTCTCCCTTGATGCTCTTATCCCGGTGCAAAGGGAGGCAGGCAGCTATCACCCCGTGTGTAGGATGGGCAGGATTGCCGTGCGCAGGGTACGTTGTCTTTCGTGGGATAGGGCGGCCTGCCGACAAATTCGCTGTTGTTTTCGGGACGGGTAGACTGACGTTGTCTTTTCAAGGAACACCGTATACCACTCCCCGCAACTGGCGTTCTCCCCTGTTGGCACAGGTAGGCTGTCCACGTGTAAGACTGATCAACGCTGGATTTTCGTTGGGTCACAGTTTGTTGTACATAGCGCTTTTGGTCAGGAAAAGTATCATGTCCATTCAGTTTCTCCTGGCGTCACCAACACAGCTATAGATGGCACCAAACATGACCAGCATGTCGCGGAGTTTTGTTCTAGCTAATCTGCGGATCAGTCTACACCTTTCGGTGTATGCTTGACGCACCGTTAAGAGGAAAGCTGCGGCGCTTTGGTCATGTGTGGGTAGCTTGATTTTCTCCGCTTTGTCCCGTGTTTTCTTGGTCGTACTCGACTTTCACCAAATATAAACCAACGGAATACCTCACTGCGCTCTTCGAGGATGGGGGTCACACATGCCTGGAAGTAGGAGGGATGGCAGTACTGTAGCAGCAAGGAGGAAGCCCGCCGAGGTTGTCGATGTGGCTGAAACAGCGCCGAAGACATCGCCAAAAACGATAGGATTGTTGATCGCCTCAGCTACACGTTTGGTTCGCTCTTGCTCACGCACGCACGCTCGCGGTTCCCGACCGAATCACAACTTGCCAGTACTTTGGCGGCTGAACGACGACTTCGGCGGTGACCCCACTCGCTGCTATACCCGCATGGCGGAGCGTTTACACATCCAGATTCTCGATGGTCGTCTATCTGTCTCTGCACCCTCTAACAAAACGGTGCATGCAATCGTGCCAAACTGAAGAAGAGGTGCTTATTGAATCACTCTCTACAAGAAAGGTTGGGTCACGTTGTCACTGCCATCATTGTGGCTTGCACGCGCCAAAGAATGCTCTAGTCTGGGAGGGTTGAAACGTTGTCAGGCGGTGGATTATCTTTCTATCTAGTCTACGGTGTCGTCCCCCCGGAGCATCTCGTTGAAGGTTAAGGCATCTCGGACGAAGACGCAGACAAGCTCGTCGCGGCTGTGCATGCCACCGCACTGCTCTAGGCGCCGCTCGCATGGACAAACGACTCGCCGGTGAACTCGGAGCATCACTCCCCTGGTTTCGATTATTTCAGATGCAACGCGACACAACAGGAATTCCGCAGCGAAGTGTTAGAGTTCGTTTTTCGGTGGTCTGAATCGGTGAAGGTCGCAGGAACAACGCCCAGAAACTGGGCCACATGCACCGGCGAGGTTGGCGAGGAAAGATCAGCCGACGCACCGCTGCATCCGTCTCGCACCCTGTGCGTACCGGCACGTACGACAAAAGCGAGCGAGCAGCACCGATGACGCCCCACCGACAAGACCCCAGTTCCTCTAACCGTAGCACCTTTCATCCAGAGGATTTGTCCGGTGTTGTTCATGCAATAACCACAATATCAACGTTGAAAAAGTATTGCTACGCACCAAATGGCAATACCAGACATAGCCTGCCTGGATGTATACAAACAGAGCCTGCCGCTGTACCCGGCATGACTAACCTGCTGATAGTGGTGAGGTGGAATCTCGGCGTTATTGGCAACCCTTGCACCACCGAGAGACCCAATCCGTAAAATGCGAACATGGCCAACGCCACAGCCGAAATGATGGCGAAGAACCGAGTGTTGAACAGCTGCAAAACGACCATCGTCAGGAGAGTGCCGAACACCGCGCAGCAAACTACCAAGTGCTTCGTTTTTTCTGTTCGTTTTGTCGGCGGCGAGTGTGTGTGTGCGGGAAAGCGGGAGGGGCGGGACAGGGGTACTGGTGGTGTGGCGGATGGTGTGCAACGAACGGTGTTGGTGGATATTTCGATCGGAGTTTTTTTTCAGTGTAGACTTGACGTAAGTAACCAGATATACCAGTACTCCGAAGTGGACACCTGGGAGGGGGGAGGGGGCAACTGTTCCTTGAAGGATAAAATGGACTGGAAACGACTGGCGGAAGGAGGAGAGAAGACATAAACCACACGCCGCAACCCCAGTCTGCTGTTTGAGGGCTAGCCGATACTGTGTCGGCAGTGAGAATGTCTCCGAAGTCGTCGCATCGGAGAGCATCTGTTTCTGAACAACCATCACTCTAGCCCTATTTACCAGCCCAGGCCTCAACTCCTACACGCCTTGTACCAAGCTTGGAGAGTGCCAGTCGACGTACCGGCGATGAAAGCGTTCCCGATGTCGTCGCGTCTGAGAATGTCCATCGTCAGCAGCCACCGCACCGAGTACGCCGTCTTCACCACCCACTCCGGCCCCAGCCACGCCCGCGCCAGCACCACCGTCCCCAGCGAGACCGTCACGTATCTGGCCACGGCGTACGGGATGTAGCTGTACTTGAGGATGAGGGAGACGAGGCACCACGGCATGACGCCGGCGATGTACCCCGCGGCCAGCCACAGACAGAACCGCCTGCTGAACATTTCCGTGTCCTGGTGCGGCGCGCCCGCAACAACGGTTTTGGCGTTGGAATGAGGGCGGAGCGGGGCAAGGGTGGTGGTGGCGCGCGGGCGGGGTGGGCTGGTACCATTTGTTTTGCCGTCCGTTGTTTGTATGCATCCGCTGTTGTTGGCGGCTCTTCCAGTGCATGGATATTCCGCCATGGGTGGCTCTGTCGTCACGACATGAAATATAAAGACTGGACCAAGTCGATGGGACGACGTTCCCGTCATCCCGTACCCGAGGACTGCCGCCTGCCTCATGAGTTCAACACATGTACGTGCGTGGAAACCGCAAGAGATCTTGCAGCAGCGAAGCTGTGCCGTCAGCACCTTGATCGACTTGTCGTTGAGCAGCGAATCGCACTGCTGTGTGGCTCCTCGATTTGTACGAGAGACAAGCTTGGGGGGCATGGGGCAGGAAGAAGCCGTCCGCTTCTTCAAGAGTTGATGATTCCGACTCTACACCACTTGATGCCAGCTCTTGCCACTCTCCATCTCCAAACAACTCTGCTCCTGCTTTTCATTGGACTTTGTAGTACTTGAAAATAATATGAAACTCATGTTGTACTTCAAAAATGTACCCTTACTACAGTATCTTTGAGCCGCTTGCCTTCGAAAAACATATTTTGGCCAACTTAAAACATGAAACTGACAATGATGCGCGTAAGGTTTACCACGGAACAAAAATATTTGACTGACACAACACGCAATGCACCTTGATATCTTTGAGAGAAATTTGTTGTGTGCCGATGCGAAGCCAGCCGGCGGAGGGGCGCAAGTCGACGTCCACCTTCGGCAGCCACAACGGCAGCACACACACGACGTCCCTGGCCAGGAGAAACACCGAATGCACGTCGATGAAGGTAGCCAGGATGAATAGACCAGATACGTGCACCTGTTCGGGAGGGAGGTGCGCTGGTGTAATTGTCGTCGTCGTCGTCGTCGTCGTCTTGGTTGTCGTAGTCGATGTCATCGTGATGACCATGGGCTATGTCAGCTAAACATGCGAGAAAACATTGTAGATGTATTCATTCGTTGCTTGCCTGGCGTAGCCTGTCGACTAATAATACAAGTGGGTGAGGTCGCCTCCCGTTTCAGCGAAAAGCAGGGAGGTGCGTACCGCAGATTTTCAGCACAGCGAGATACCTTGGACATGTCTAGGCTATGCATACCTTGACCCTGACCGACTGGGGAGAGACATCCGGAAGTAGCGTCAGCTCCTCCACCAGGTAAAAGTTTCTCAAGAGGGTCGCGCAGTACAGCCAGCAGATGCCTAGCGGTACCCCGACGAGGGCGACGAAACGGGTTTGCCACCTATCACCGACCAGCAACAATGGTAGTAGTGGTTTCAATTGGCGGGCCGGCCGACGTAAGTGATGGCGAGAACGAAGGGAGGAATAGAGATACCTACTTGATAGCGCGGTGGCTCGGGTGGGAATGGGCTGGTTCTCGTGCTGGCGGTGGTCCTGATCAGAAAACTGGCCTCGGGGACGATCTAGAGTTCTTTGACCCGAGGCTGCACTGAAATAAGTAACCTATTTCGCTTAAAGTTGACGTCCGTGGTGAGAATGCTGTTCTTAAAACGTCAAGCAATATGTGTCCTCCTATAGCGGTAGGCGTACGAAGTTGTGGAATTGATCCGATGTGCCCGGATCATACATACCTTAGATTGACCTCCAAGCGGAAAACCTTGTTCATGGACCCAGGGACCGGATCGTCGGCCATGAAAATCTTGGCCCTTTTCTTCCTCAAGAAGACGGGTATGGCGTACTCCCATCCTTCCAACACCATCCCCTCCCCCGTTCGGTACAAGGACCTCGCGAGAGTTACCAGTCCTGCCAACAGCTGTTGGCACAATCAACCGTCAAGGTTGGTACGGGTTGAATCGTGGTTGGGGTGGGGGTCCGTCGCGCGTCCCAGAAGGCATGGTTGGGGGGGGGGGGTACTTACGGATTTGCCTGCCTTCGTCATTTGACCATTGGCACGCGTGGTTCTTGAGACGTATGCATAGCACAGAGATCATGGAGTGTAAATGTGTTACAGCCCATTGTGGGCGGGCGCCGCTCGTCTTAGAGTCATACTCATGTCAGAAAGTCAAGGATGGGCGGGGGCAAAAAGTAGCCAATCTAATTTTATACCACATATCCTTGGATCAAGCTTCATTTTTTGTCCTGCCTCAGTTCTTGCTCTCTACCACACTCTTCACACTAACCATGCAATCGAACAAGAATCCCCGCGCAACAACAAGCGACTGAACGGTACACGTTCCTCCACCACGCAGCCCCAAACGTGGTCCGAGTGCTCCTTTTGTCGACTAACACGACTACTTGCACGTACTCACAACAAAGAGCTCCGCGCCCAACAGAGCCCGCTCGTTCAACGTCTCGGTGATGTACGCAGCGCAGTCCACGGCCTCCTGCCTGTTCTTGCTGAGATCGCATTGCTCGCTGTTGAGGCAGCAGCGGATCTCCCGCAGGGTCTCGTGCTCGACGTCGACGGTCGACTCGAACGCGGCCGTTTCGCGCCAGCCCTCCGCGAAGTAGCTCAGGACCTTGTACACATGTTGGTGGTTTGTCGCGTTGTTGTTGCGTGGTGCTGCTGATGTGCTGTCGCTTTTTGCTGGACTTGTGCTGGGCTGTTTTTGATGATTGTACTGGCAGTGGCGTCAGCAGTGGTCCTAACAGCTCTACCACATAGCAGCCGGAGAAGTTGCCATCTTATCACTTTGTGCACCTTTCGGACGGCATCTGGGCGAATCGAAACTGTTCTTATGGTTGAAAGTATCCTTTCGTGGAGGGCACTTGGTTTTGGCAGGAAGAATGCCCGATCTCCTTGAAATTCACACTACCTCCCGCCCTTGCCTCCCGCCAAGTATTGTGCCCATTCACCTTACCAGTACCTTACATAAGTCCGAAAACTTTGAAGTTATTACGTTCAAGGAGTACACTAAAAATTATCCCAGAACCGCCTTGGGATGATGCCTGCAGCGTCGGGGTCCGAACTGACCACACAGTGGACGTCTCGACGTGAGCTGCCAGGCTGCTGACGCAAGAAGTGGTAGGTCTCAGACTCACACTCGGGTCCTCTTCGCACTACTCACCCTGACATCGTCCAGCGCCCAGTACTCAAGAGCGTTCTCGAAGTTCTCCTGCTTCCACCGGAAGCGCACCGAGGCCGCATTCAACGTTGACGGCACGTCTACCTCCACCTTGTAGGGATCGGAAGACGGACCGAACACGCAGGACGAAACGTCACACAGCGCGATACTTCCGAATGACGAACCGCCAAATTACGCCATTTCGAAAGGGGTAGAAAGATACAGCAAAACGCGACAGAGCATGCTGTCGTTGCCTTTCACGTCAGAAAGCGTCCACGGGGCTACAGCAGTAAATCTCGCAACGACAACAACAAAGGCAACACCAGCAACAAAGGTAAAAACACACTCCAGTTATGCTCAGACAAGATAACAGTGTTTGGTTGTCGAACACAAGAAAGACACTTCTGCAACTAACAACCGGAGAGCAGAGATTTTTCCCAAGTACTTGACCTCACCCACCTCCGTGAACGCCTCCTTCCGGTAGGCAAACGTCTCTAGGATGGAGAGCGTCTCCCACACGCCACCCCCGTCCAGCGAGTAGTACAAGTAAACGTTGCCACCGTACGCGGGCTTGCACAAGACGGCCGAAGCGTCCGGCACCGTCGGCCCCATCTTCATCAGGAACAGCACCTTTCCGCCGTACCTTCGTTTCCATATTGTGTGGCAATGAAACGAAAAGGACAGTCGAAGCCCGTGCGATACGCACGAGAAGCGTGGCACGTCCCGTCGCAACACGTGCAGCTTGTGTCAACTCCTCTGCCTGGCGTGCGGGAGACACATCCATGTATTCATTCCACGCGCAGCAGAGTATCCGGTAGCTTACGTATTTTCCCTAAACAATTATCCTTGGATCCAATGTTATTCGCTGTGAAACGAAGCAGGGCTAAGTAGCACAGTCCAGTAGAGAGGCAAATACGAAGAAAAGGTCAAAATTCGGTGTGTCAAAAAACGCCCGTCCTAGCTGCTACGCACACGTCCCCACGTCGCCGCCGCGTATTCCTGACCTCATGTCGACATCCAACGTCTCCACCTCCCGGAAGTTCGCCCCCGAGAACATCATCGTCCCCGCCCCGTTGCCCAACCCGCACACATCCGACAACCGGCCGTTCGTCACGTGGTCCCAGCGCGCGGAGGCCATTGTGTTCGAGGACAAGTTCTCGGCGTCCCACATCTCGAACGTGTCTTCGAACACGTACGCGCCGGCGGAGCCGGACATGAATTCTTCCTCGCAAAAGTCGAAGCCCCACTTTTCGTCCGAGTACACGTAAACCTGATGTTTTCGTTTGGGTGCGCTTGTAAAGAGACGAAAGAACGGCAGCTAAGAACCTAGGGGGACCTAATTTTCTTTGCGTGTAGACCACACCGAAGTGGCCTATCCTGTGAGTTTATGTTCTCCCGGAAACTGCTGGGCTCCTCGAGAATAAACCTGTGCCTTGCTATTAGCTCGTGGCGTACACAACCTGAAAACAACAAGAGGAACACCTCGAAATCAGTTTCGAAAAGGCTGGGCTTTGGGCTTTTCCTAGAAAACGAAAGTCGCTAGGCTGTTGTAGTATTGAGTCATTTTCGTGCCGGGTATCGTGCCCTGTCTCAACGCTCAACGAAACCTGGTGCCTGTGCTTTGGGGATGCCCGTTCTCTTCCAGATAATATAAACATTTGTCGAGAATCACCGTGGGTTCGACCGACACCACCCATATTTCGAACCAAGAGCATCCCACCCGTACCTCCTCGTCAAAAACGCAGAAGCTTCCGTAGATCTTGTTCACAGTAGTCTCGTCCTCGCAGGCACTCCATTCTGTGATGGGCTCGAGGCCGTTTCCAATATCGCCAGAGTCGTAGGCCACGCACTTCGGGCCGGGGGTGCAGCTTGGGAAGAACCCGTAGCAGGTCTGATCAAACACCGTCTTGATCACGGCGCTGTTGCTGGCTATGGCCACCGAGACCCCGGCGAGAGTTACCAGGCACACGAGAACGGTCGCAAAGAAGCCGACGAGAACAGGCACCACCCCCGGGTCGCGCGGGATCCTCTGGTACTCTATTCTCTTCTCGGCCAGGACGTGGCAGCTGGGGCAGTGGCCGGTCTGGAAGTAGCAGCTGCTGCAGTAGAACTCGCCGCAGCACTTGCGGGCGAACCCTTGCCGCAAGCACTTGCGGCACTCTTCACCATCTCGGACACCCGGCAACGTGGCAACGGCGGCTCTGGCCGCCGCAGAAGCACTGTCGGCGGCGTCTTTTTGTGATGCCAGCAGGCCGCGGTTGGCGCCGACAGTGATCACATGGCAGCCAGGACAGTTGCCCGTGCCCTCATAACAAAGCTTGCAGTAATGCCTGTTGCAGCAGGTTCGTAGCTTCCCATCTTCCAGGCACACGCCGCACGTATCCACTGGGAGCTTTTCCTGGGTTCGGTAAGCACAGTTGGGGAGGAAGTCTAGATGCGATACAACACACCCGAACCACTGTACGCTTCTTGACAGAGAGCATCCGAAAAGAAACCGTAACGAGCCGCTCATCAAGACACGAGCCAGAGGAAAAGGTTTCAGCAGTATCGCACGACAGGTCAAATTGAGACTGATAAAAAAGAGCCATATCCAGTATTAGTCCCTCTGTGGTGCAAGTAGCACTTCCTTGCGATTCACCCTGTCGTCGGTGATCTTCAAGCCAGAAGCGGTATCAAGAGTGATGGGGTAGACAATATTCAAAAGGCTTACATGTCTTTGGTGATTGCATCGATCTTTCGTCGTGGCGACTCTTACAGGATTGCACGGCGCACGAAAAGTACACCGCTATCGGTCTCAGTTACAGCACTCACTTTCGTCCTTGTGCTTACCTCAAGTATCCCCGCCGTCGAAACACGGTCAAAGCACGGGCAAGCCTCGACACCGGGCAAATCCTCGGCGCAGCAACCATCCTCGTCCCCGCAGCCACCGTCCTGCAAGCAGCTGCAGTTGTCGGGACGCACGCGAACATGGCTGTCGCCACTCTTCAACAATCCTTTCCGGTATGAACCGCAGCTAGTGGCGACCGAGTCCGTATCGTATCCTGCTACTGCACCGTCGGCTCCTCGTGCATGATCGTCCGCGGAGCTCGACGAAGAAAACGACGAGTCTGTGGCCGGGTTTCGGTTTCTTCGGCGTTCAAGGCTACCAACATGCTGCTTTCCACCGGGAACCTGTTGGTTGGCTTTACTTTTGTGCCTTCTGGCTCGCTCCTCGAGCTTGCGCTTCCGCTCGGGGTACGGTTCCCACGGGGGACTCATTGGTGGTGTATTGTGTGGTTATTTCAAACTGGCTGTGGGTCGTTGGATATGATACGATCTTTCGGGGGTACGCGGTCACGGAAAAGACAGCGTGGGGCGGCTCAAAAAATGCAGTCGACTCCTGGGGGACCCCCATGCCGCCATTGCCGCAAACAAAACACAGCACCCATCATCTACCGCTGGTGCTACTACACCGACCACCCAATTTTGTACATGCTGGTGGTCAGGTCTGACGACATAAATATGGTAAGAGTGTGATGCATGTGCTGGTGGTGGTGTCGCGGTTGGTAGTGAGCTTGAGTGACGAACACAACACACACAGCTTGTTGTGGCAGAAATATGCATCGAAAAATGTTGAGCAAACAAAGAGGCTCCGCTCTCCGAGCTATTCGCCCTCTGGTCGCCCGTTCCCCCAGGCAACCGTAGCCTGGTATGGAACAACAGCAGTATGCGGCGGTCGTGCACCAGCTGCTCAATCGGCAGGGTAAAGATACCCAGCACTTACTCGGAGCCCCTCTGTGGAATTGCGCAGTTTTGAAGTTGGCCTGGAGTACAGCGCGCTTGTGAGCTTGGAAAGCTGCGACTGCTCTTCGCGCTTTTTTTATGTCGCCGTTAGTCAAAAATCAGTACAACAACCATTGACTTTGAACCCCAGTCGTTTGTTCCTCGGCAACCCCATTCCGAATGAAGAGGCCACGCCACCCGGCAGCCAGGGAAGGCAACAACATGGACAAATAAACCTGAAGTACACATGACATAGAAGTAAAACTCTTGCAAACGCAACTCTCCGATCAAGGTCGTTGCGATTGATGGCGGTGTTCGTAGCCGGGCACACACATCGGCTTCCATCGAAGATCGTTCTCGTAGATTACACCCCCCCCCACTACGTCTGTGGCAAGAGCTGTGGGTAGGTTTCGCGGAGGATAGTACCCGAAGGTGTCAGTGGTACCAGCCCTGGGGGTTTAACATAGGTCTGCGGCTCGTTTTGCGCGTACCTCTTGTAGACCGTAGCCCGCTCGGAGGCTTGCGGAATCCACAACACCTCCGGCCGAACACACACACCGCCGCCGTGCCCTCGATGTGCCTCTTGGTGAAACGACACTTTTCGGACTGAAGGGCGAGCAAAAAAAAAAAAAGAAGAATGGGTTTTCTTCCCACTCACTGCTGTTAAAACACCCCCACTGAGACTGTTGTGGTATTATCTCGAACGGGACGGGTATTCTCTCGTTGGTTGTAGCATGTGTACTAGGGTGAAGCATCGCCCCCCCGCCCCAAGTGGGCGGGGCATAAGGTGATAGAGGTGTAGAAAGATAATATCCGCAAGAATAGGGGAAAAAAGAGGGGTGATATGTAAAAAAGAGGAATTGCAATAATAGGGAAGGAAACCGTCATCGTGGACAGGTGATAATTGCACATGTAATTCGGCGTAAAAAGTGGCAAGTAAGATTTGTAGCAGGGGAAACCCGCCGGTACAGTATCGGGAAAAAAACGTTGCTAAGAGAAAACAACGTCGTGGCAGGAACTCATTTGGCAACGCAGGTAGTCTCAGGCAACGGTGCTGGTGAAAGAGGTTGTGGTATACCGTAATGTTTAGGGCGGTGTATTTGTAATGACGCGGGACGGTGCGTAACGACGCTTGGTTTGTCAAGAAGGAGGGAGGAAGCCAAGACGGATGTCAGGGCGTACGCTACGAAAATGCCATGTACGCGTCGTCGCTGTCGTCGTTGCCGTCCGAGTCAGAGGATATGTCGGAAGGGGCAGGGACCGGAATCTTCCTGCGCTTCGGTTTGGAGGAGGGCTTTTTGTTGGAGGTGCCAGAGGTAGGCCTCCTCTTGGTCTACTTGCTGGTGGCCGGGGTGGAGGGTGGCGTAGAGGACGTGGTGAGGTCGGTGCTGGCGAGGTCGATGGTTGGAGAGCAAGGGGAGGGAGAGTTGGAGAGGCGGTCGATGAGGGCGCTGTTGCTGCTGAGGCCGACGATGTGATGAGCCTAGCTGCGGTGGTCACGGCCGCCACGTATTTGGCGTCGATGAACCCACTGGATGGCATCTGTTGCTCGTTGGTGTCCAGGTGGAGACGTACTCTTCCCCGTCGCAGACGAGGGCTTCTCCTAGAACCTGCGTTTGTGGGTGAAGGCAAAGAGTGAGAAGAAGAAAATGAGACGGATGGGAGACGGCACGTCGATGAAAGGACGGCGGTTAAAGAAAGGAAAACGTGGAGGAATGGCAAAAGAGACAACCACAGTGGAATTGAGGATAATGTTAGGTGTGTTCTTTTTAGTATGTACGCGGCAGGGGCGGTGTGTTGCAAGAAGGCAATGACATCTATGGTTGGGGCATGGTATGACACAGATGCGTGTATTGTAGGCAAGGAAGGAAATTTGATTCACCTGTGTTGCGATGGAGATCATCGCGAAGATCGGGAGGCCGTCCGGAGATTTGGGGCCGCAGTCGTGAGATGAGTTGGACGGGATGACCGTGAAGAGTGTTGGGATCATATCGTAGGCATGATGTACATAAGGTGATATTTTGTTGGCGTGCGTGATGGGCAGGGCATCGGTGGGGTTGGCAGTGGAATTTCCCTGCTTGGAAGAAGTGAGATGACTCTTATGTTATTTTCTAGTTGAAAAAATATCGAGGGTACTGTATTCTCTAGTGAAAGGACAGACAAGGACAAACATTTCTGTCTGTATTATGTTGACGTGATGTTCAAGTATGTTTTTCCTTTTGTTTTGTCTTCACTTCCAAGTCAGCGCGCACAGCATTTGTGCCACCGTTTACTCCAACCCGTGGTCACGAATATTTCCCAATAAGAATCGTTCCCCTGACTATCCCGCAGGAGGGCCGCCAGCAGCTCTTGCAAGTGCTGGGCCGCCTGGAAGACGAGGCCGAGAGAGAGCAGGAGGCCTTGCGGCTACGGATCGACGCGGAGCGGTCGGAGGTGAAGGCCACCATGACCTTCAGCCGCGCCTCGGCGATAAAGTCGGTCGAGCAGCAGGTGCGCGGGCGGACCTCATCGAACGGTGTGAGGACCCACACGAAAGAAGCCTGCTGTCGAGTTGTTTTTGTGTCTTTTCGGAGGGGCAGTGCAGGACATGCGTGCGAGAACGAGAAAAAGGAAACGAGAGAGAGAGAGAGAGAGAGAGAGAGAGAGAGAGAGAGAGAGAGAGAGAGAGAGAGAGAGAGAGAGAGAGAGAGAGAGAGAAAGATGGAGCTTGCCCAGTTCCCCGTTCCCCCCCCGGCTTTGGTAACGTTGCCGGCGTCCAGTCCGCCGCCGCCATTGGCAAGGACGGCATAAATATGTGTGCGGGCTGTACAAGATCCCCCCACGCCACCGGTTGTCTCGCACGGTTCTAAAACGATTTTTGGCGCGGATGCTACAACCGTCGAGCTACATATACCTACGTCGGTGGGAGAGTCTTGATGAGATATGTCCAGTTGCGCTATCCTAGGCATCAACGTGCAGCAGTGACCCCGTTCATGGTCAAATCTGGAGGTGTAGGCAGGGGTCCTCGTTGACATGGTCATGTGTACTATAATATCGTGTGCGGTGTTACTTGAAACTGTCCCTGCCTTTTGTTCCGGCAGTGCCCTCGTTTCGATGGTGGAATAGTCATCCCGACACCCATAACAACATGTCCATCATCCTCACCGTCCATCACATCATCGCCCTTAGTACCTGCATTGCCTTCCTCTCTTTGTCACGTCTCCTCCCTGCCCTGCCCCCCCCCGCCATCCCCGACCTTTAGATGGAGCTCTCCAAGGCCCGCGAAGCCGAAGGGGCTTGGCTGCGGGCTCAGCAAGAATCGGCAGCTTCTGCGGCCAAGGCGCCGAGCCCGTCCGGCCTGTCGCTAACCCTACCGGAGCCGGAGCCGACGAGGGAAGACTTAGTGGGTGACGGTGGTCGTCTCCTCCGTGAGGAGAACAGGCGGCTGGCCCAAGAAAACGAACGGCTGGTCGAGGAGGCGTTTTTGCTCCGCTCAGAGGCCGAGGAGGCCAAGCGGCTGGCGGGAGAGCTGTCGGCGCTGCGCGCAAAGGAGGACGTGGGAAGCACGGCTGCAGAAGCGTGCTCTCTGCGCGGAGACATGTCGGTGGCGGGGGCAAGTGGTGGCGGTGGGTGTACTAGTGAGCCATGCGTTGGTGCTGCCAGAGCCGTAGCCGGCGGCGTCCCCGCGAGCCCAGCCGAGGGGCAACGGCCGGCCACGGAAGTCAGCGGGGTCATGCTTCCGAGCGAGGTACGGGATTCGGGATCGAACGGTGTTGTGGGTGCTGCTGCTGTTGGGGCGGTGCAAGAACCTCCTGCCTCCGCGAACTGTGGGCTGGCGGCGGCGAGTGCCGGGCGTCTGGGGTTGATGTCGATCGAGCCAGGGCCGTCGCCGGCGTGGCCGAGGCGATCGAGCGCGACGGGCGGCAGCGCCCTCTCCGACAACATCGTGAGCGTCAGCAACAGCAGCAGCAACAACAGCAGAGGAGAAAGGGACAGCCGAAGCGAGGGGGGCGAGAGGCAGTGGGAGGAGGAGGAGGAGGAGGATGACGAGGAGGAGAAAGAAAGTAGAAGGAAGGGCGAGCTCCAACGCGCGATCGAAGAGGAGGCCGAGCGAGTGTATCTGGAGCTTCGCGCGAACCCTCCGCCGGCGATAAGGGCGCTGCTTGAGGCGAGGGGCGAGATGGACAAGCTTGTGGCTGAGGCAAGGTCGACGCTGGAGGGCCTGAAGCCGCCGCCGCGGCCGCCGGCGGCGGAGCAAGTGAAGCCCCCCGTGCGTTTGCCTGAGACACAGCGGTCCAGGTCGGCTACACCGCCTCTCGTTGATGCCGCCGTGAACGCCCGATAGGTGGGCGGTGCTGCGGAGGGTTCTGTGCGGGAAGAGATGGACACCGTGCTTGGGGCGCTGTTGATGACATTGACTCTGAGAGGGCGCGCGTCGGAAGCGTGTTGTCTGCAGCAGCTGCCGCCATCGACACCGCTTATAATCGGTGGCGGCGTTGACGGTGCCCCCGGTAGCCACCGCTGCCGCTGCTTATGCTGCTGCTTGGAAGGCGGAAGGCGGAGACGTTGTGATTTGCACCAGAGTATTGTCAGGGTAAGGTTGCCGTTGGGGCTGACGAAAGGTGCTGCCGTCCGAGTGTGATGATGCACCTAGCGATATTTTATCGTGTGCCTTGTCGTGGGGGGGGGGGCGGGGCACCAACATGACCTGTGGTTTCGTTACAATTCGCTGTTGCCTTTCAGAGGGACAACTCTCGCGATCTTCTACCATTGGCGCCGTCGGTATTGGGCACGAAGAGGCGTAGAGGTAAGCTGTAGGCCACGTTTCGGTAGCAACGGCAGGTAGGTTCTAGACTTCTTGTTAGGTTAGACTGACGTGTACACAGCATTGTCGTCGTCGTCGTCGTAAGGTTGGATTTTATTTAATCCTTGTGGTCGATATTTCGTGCAGTATGGGAGTGGGTTGAAGCGTTGTATATAAATGTGGTATCGTTATTAGTAGTCGAAGTGTGATGCATAACCTTCCCGTGTGTTTTCATTTTGTCTTTTTTTTCTTCGTCAATGTTGTAGGTTTATTTAAATTGTTCCCGGGCAGCTCCTTAGAGTGGTAGCCCAGGTGTGTGTGTCTGTTAGTTTCGGGGTCAGTGCCCTTCGTCATTTTCATGCATTCAAGCAAATGTCCCTAGTCATTGATCTCCCTTTACTCCTAGGAAGAAGCGTTTTTAGTTCGCCACGTGGATTATAGTGCCTCGCGGGATACAGGCTTCTCCTCCTCACGTGAACCTGTGTACCATAACGTTCTTTTGTTGTTTTGCTGCTTGCGATAGAGTCTAGACGCGTCCCGCCTTCAGCATTGCGGGTTGTCGCGCAGACACAAAGGGCTGCTCAGTGATGAGAACGTAGCCGTAGCACACGCGCACGTGGACCACCTGCCGTTGCCTAGCTTCGTGCGTGTGCCGATGTAGTTTTACGGCTGCCGTGTGGTGCACACGCGGTCTGTCGCTCTTTGCCTGTTTGGCGACCATGTCACCTAGCTACAGCGAGTTCCGCCGCATTCATTTGGGTGTTGCTAAACCTCGATTCGGCGCACGGGTTTGGCAAATTAACGTTGATAAAGGCGCAAGCCCTGCTTTTGCCGAAAACCCTGTAGTCTACCATATGCGCAGGACGAACGAAAGTTCGGCATTCATTCGTTAATTGTTGCAAAGCTGAAGTTACACCGAGAAAGTGTGTTTTTCAAAGCAGTCATGTCAGAGTCGCCACATATGCATACGCCTTATACCTCCAGGAGGATCATATGTAGTGTAGCTTTATATATGCCCTCGTTTGTAGTGTTCTTGCTGGGGGGCTCGGGGAGTGAGAGTAGTATAGTCTTGTGAAAACAGCAATCGCGGGCGGGGCCTGAGACAGGAAGTCGTATTTTTCGCCGAAAGGGTTCGGTTCATCGAGAGCACCCTCGGAACAGAATTGGGTTTGTTTATAGTCGGGGGCCGAGGGGAAATGTTTCGGGCACCAGAGGGATGACCCACATGCACGAGGTCGAAACTTTGGAACTGCGTTTGGTCGTCATGTCACATGGACACACAAGCACGGCTTTCTCACTATCGTGTTGGGGTCATATGCACGTGCTTCGTTTCGCGTCTCGCAAGATTCGCGAATGCGCCTGCGGTTGTTGTATGATATTCAAGCACTGCTGGATAGCCTCAAGGATACAGAAACGCCGCCCTATTCATATGGCTGCGTGCTTCCCGCGGTGGTGCCGAAAGGGGTGAGCTAAACGGCCGGTGGCGATGATTGAAGTTGCTCACGTTGAAGACCCGACGACAGCACTTGTCATGTTGGATCAACTTTGGGAGAGAATCAAGTCCAGGCAGCCACCAAATACCGCCAGGCAGGGAACGATCGGCGGTACTTTGTTTCGTGGAATTGAAACCGCGCCGCGGTGGGGACGGTACTGGTGTGTCCCGGTCACGACCTGTTCAGAATCGATGTTCAGGCGAAACGTACACCTTGGAGTGTCGTGGCCGTTACTAAGTCTATTGGCTGGACGCGACAGGAAACAGGATGGCCACATTGATGCCGGCAAGACGTCACTTCCTGACTATGTGACACAACTTCCAGCCGTGGATGAAAGTACGAGCTGAATCCCACGCACAGCTGCCGTGTCGGGTTCAAGTTTTCCAAGGGCTTCTTTCATGTTTCCCCGGTTTAGCGAAACGAAGGCGGAGAAGCGATCCCCCGAGAACAAGCAACGGCTAGGAGGACAAAACAAAGTTCGACGCATCCATCATTCTCAAGGAAGGTCCTCAGCCTAGTCCGAAGCATGGCAAGATTCCGACGGCACACTTGACGAGTTAAAAGGCACCCCTGATGTGTCCCGCACCTCGCATGGCGAACACGCGACCCACTCGCTACAAAACCTGGGGTGACTAACGCCACCATGCCATTCTACTCAACATATTCTAGAGCGCTACACTCGACCTCCCCCCCACACGGTAACAAACACGAAAGATCTGCGTGTCCAGTTTGCAGGCAGCGAGCAGCCGGCGAGTCTATCTCTTCTCCTCTTTCTCGCCTCCGCACATCTGTCTCTATCCATTGTTTCTGCTCAAGCCTTAAAGTCTTTGACGTTCTTGACGGTCCTGTCGACGCAGTCGGCGATCTGACCACACCACGTTGCAAGAGGAGGGTGAGAAACAGACGGAGGCGAGCTCAGGTGGCCACGACAACCAGCAAGATTGGGTCAAGGTGTGTGATATCGTATCACGGACGAGCGGAGGAAAACGGTCCGACATGCGCCGGTGTTCACGGCCCGACATCTGTGAGAGAGCCGCGAAACACGACACAAGCCGCTGAGGTGGCGCCACGCACAATGAAGCTCGATGCGTCCCCAAAAAGGAAACTAAAAAATACCCAAAACATAACACATCCTACACTATCCTGTTGATTGTCGATGTGTCAGCAGCAGGCGTGAACCGTTCAAACGTTTTCCTGGCTCCGACGATATCGGAAGCATCAAGAGCACGGCTACCTACGCCAGAGCACGAAATTTGACCTAAACATGAACCAACAATAGATGTACTTCCGCATGACCCTGTCGTCATTGGAAACTCTAGACAGCATGATTCCATTTCGGAAGAGAGCGCGACGATTGTTTGCTGACAACAGAGGAACACACATATTAACAGCCCCCATACGCAAAACGCCATCAAGATACCGCGGCAGCGCCGCCGCATCTCACCACCGTTGGTCCAGTTGGCGTTGCGACCGTGGTGCTACACCGACATAGAGTACATTTCGCGAAGCACCGCTCACCGTGGTTCGTTGCGTGAAGAAATCCAAGAAGTCCCCGTTGGGCGCGAGCAGGTATATGACGATGGAGTGATCCAAGAGGTAGTCCTCGCCCTCTTCGTGCTCCTCCGTCTTGGAGAAGTACACCCGGTAAGCTTTGGCGGCCTTGGCGACCTGGTCCTTGGTGCCCGTTAGGTACTCGATGCTGCTCGCCAAGTCAGGCACCGGTGGTGGCGAAAGCGAGGAGAAGAACACAAGGGGAGTCGGCGTATCGGAATCCTCGATTGACAAAACTGCTATTAGCACCCCATCTCCTGTGAACTGTAAAAAAATGAACCTACTGAAACAACATGTTGGCGCTCGGGCTGTACTTAAGCAAGGGTGTGGAGAAGTTGCTTGGAGTTTCGGCGTGTGACGACAGAGGAGTGGGCCCCTTCGACACACGTCTTTCTTCCAAACGATTTCAGGATGGGGCGGCGGTGAGGCAAGAATACGGACCCAACAGCCGTCTTCTGTCCCTCTAGACAAGAAACTCCTTCAATGACCTCTAGGTCGGAATAAAACTTGTTAGCCTGGACGTCGGTTCATATCGGGTGCTGTGTACACTTGCAACCGAAACGAAGGCAACGGGGTGTTGAGAGGGCAGCAAAGGAGATGTGCGTGCCGCTGAAGAGCAAAGCTTGTCGCGGTGGAGGTGGTGGTGCCGCCGGCAGACTCGCTGACCTGTGGTGGAAGTCCTGCGCGTAGTGCTTCAGCTGCGCCAGGCTGTCTCGGTCTGGATCCACCGATACGAACACCGGCTTCACCACGCCGGCGCCGAGCTTACCTTCGAGCTTGGTAGCTATGGCGCCCACCTGCTAGAAAGGACGATAGATACATGTCACTATCAGCGGAAGTTGGGCTAGCGACCGAGGATGAGCTTCGAAACTCTCTTGCTACCCGAAAGCCTTCCTTGTGTAGCGTTGAGGCCGAGGCCGAGAGAGACAGGCTCTGGCGGCTTCGGTTGCAATTAACTTAAAAAAAGTGCGCTGAGCAATTTTCGCGCTCGTCTCACGAGGGAATACGAACGAGACGCGTTCAGCCCCACCTGTGATTCAGCCTGTGGTGACTCGCAACCGCACCGTTTGGAGGTTCGCGTTGTACGACGTCTTTCATGCGGGTGCTGATGAAAGGACCTCCTTCGCGAGAAATAAAAAATTAAGAGTATGAGGATGTAGGAACAGGTAGGGGGTACGCAGAACCTATCCCTAACCCTTAACCCTGAACCAACTTCCCCGATTGCATTTTTGTCCAGCATGTTTCCTTAGTCGAAAAAAACCGCGAAGGCTGCAGCATGTAATGAAACGTTTGTCCCACCTTCACCAGCTCTGACGGGCAGATATCCGGGCAGTGGCAAAAGCCGAAGTAGAGCAGCACGAAGGACCCGTGGTAGTCCTTTTCCGTCACCGGCTTGCCGTGCATGTCGACGAGGGTAAACGGCCCGCCCAACGCGGGCTTCCCGGTGGACGTTACCTGGAATTGTATGGAACGTTGGAGAAACATGATATCTATGCTGGTTGTATGCATAGGATTACAGCGTGGGGTATTTTTACCCCTTCGTTTCCCTCGTTGCTGGCCTGTTTATATTAGGAATGCGCTGCAAAGCGTTTCAGCTCAGCTGTTCGTACGGTAGCAGAATACCAGATGCCAGTAATCAAGGCTGCTCATCCGGCTGCGCCGGTGTGTTGTATAACATAACTCTTGAAGAGCTTGTCTCTACAGCGTTACATGGCTACAGCAGCACAGCTGAACCCAGAACTCCGCCTGATGTGTGAGTCGAAGCCCCAAAGACGTCCGCAAACGCACCTCGGATGCAGTCCGATTCTGCTTCTCCTCCCACTTCATCCTGTAGTACCCCACTGCCAGAGTTGCCACGATACCGAGGAGACCTACAGCTCCCCACGTCAGCGGCCCTCGGCTGCCGCCGCCCCCACCTCCGCCGCTGCCACCGCTGCTGCTGCTGTCAGCGCCTCTGGTGATGGTGCTGGACGGATCTGAGCCCGTGTTACTCAACGGTTCTGCTGCCGAGCCTGCTTTTGCATCAGCAGCAGCAGAGGAGGTAGTGCCAGCAGTGCCGATATTTCCCCCCTGCGTTCCAGCTGCCGGGGCGGAGGCTGCTGCTGCGGCTGCTGCTGTTGAGGTCGGTGCTGTGTTGGTGTCGCCGCTTGCTGCTGTGCGGGTTGTTGATGTTCTTGAGCAGGACGAGGAGGAGATCAGGGCAGCAACTGTCCCTCGGGAGGGATCAGCACGACACCTAGGAGCTTTCAACGCAATTCCAGCCCGCAGCGCTGACGATCTTGCTCGAGAGGCAGCTGCACAAGCCAGTCGGGTGGCCATTGCTGCAGGTAGTCGATGTGTCTGTCATATATTGGGTGTGTGCGGTGTGTGTCTCCAGCGGGGGGCACACGTATGTAAATGCTCACACCCCGTAATTCGCGATTATTACGCCGCACCTTGCTGATTGGTGGAACTGGACGCGGCCTGTGTCCTCTATCCTCTCTGAGCTATCACCAGCTACATATCCGGAAGGGTCGGACACGTGCCTCTCTCCTCGAACCTCTCTACCTGTTTTCAGAGCTCGGAACCCAAAGATTCAGTACCGGAGGGCTATTTCATTCGTTCTGTGTCGTCAGCAAACTCAAGAAAAAGTGCTCTGAAAAAACACTGACTGCTTGAGGCATGTTTGTGAATGTGCGCGCACGACAGATGATTACACAAGATACGGTGTCGGTGTCGTCGTATCGTCACATCAACCCGTGTGAGTTTGTCTTCTTCTTTTTATCCCCGCTCTAACATACCTTCTTTTACATTCTACATTAGGGTATCCTTCTCAACATCAATCGTTCTTTGACAATCCTATTGACAACTCGATCACACTCCTGCTGTACTACAGTACAGCAGTACAGATTGGCCGGTTTGCATCCAAAGGTACAAGTAGCCGGCTACAAAAAGAGGACAATAGAAAGAGCAACGCACCATGTACACGGCGTACATGCGACACAGTAGTTACACGCAAAATAAGACACTACTGCAAATCCAACCCCCCCCAGTCTGCCAGTTCGCACAACAACACCACTTGCTGCGCTGGGGCACGGCATTCTAGCCTCTTCTAAGCCACCAGCTTCCGCCTGATACGCGACGAACAAACCGTCTGTGCCTGCACGACTAGTATTACTTACCAAATACTCGCAGGACAGAGGACCATTTTTACAGGACAGTTCCAGCCGACACAGGACTGGAGGGCGCCACGCACTGCCATAGGTGCCTGGCTCAACACAACTCATCAACGGTTCGTATCGCTAGCGCTATCTAACGGGTAAATTGTGCCGTTCCCATGACGGGCGGAAAACAACCCTCGGGGCTAAACTGCCAAAATGCTTCCGGGGGACACCCCACACGGAACAACAGCCATACCCGCTCTAAAACGCGTTCACTTCTCCGTCCGCGGCCGCCATGCGGGCGGGAGCACCGTCAACCGACAGGAGCTCGGCGCTCAACAGCGTGTCGGGGAGGGGTGATCGCAACGGTTTCATATCTGCGCCGAGGTCGTAGACAATGGGGGTTGCGCGAGGAACCTTCATCGTGACAATCACGTCGTCGGGTATGCCGTCGAGGTGCTGTAGCAGAGTCTTGAGCATATTTGCGTGGCCCTGTCGGACCGAGGGGAAACAAAAGCAGAGGGGGGGGGGGGGGGGGGGGG